TTTTAGCCCTGTAGCTTTTGTAGATCTTGAGATGAAAAAGCGTGACAGACGCACACACAGACAACCTCTCGTCAGTATGCGTTTTCTGCATTGCACAGCTGCAAGAAACGCATAAAGAGGAGTCTCAAAAATTATGGAATTTGGAGATTGAAACGGGCAAAAAAATCTATCTCAAAATAAAATAGCCCTAATTCCTAAGGCCGGGATGCTCTCACTCAAAAATTGGAACTATGCCGGGCCTCTTGATCTTGAGCTGTATACCCTTTAGTTGTTATTGTTTCGGTATCCAGCCCAAAATCGTACTACTTTTGCACGCTTTATTTGTAAGAAATACATACCAAGGAAATAGCTTCTTAAAGCAGCAGTGAACGAACAGTTTTTTAAAACTTCTAAGATAAAAAAAAGCATATTATCAGTGATGGGTACCTGTATTCTGCCGGCAACACCAGAACTGTCCATTCTGCTTGCAACGTTCACCGAGTTACCCCAGATATCGTAATGCGGCTTCTTGACGCCAATTACTCCCGCTACTACTGGGCCAACGTTTATACCTAGAATGTCCGTTATACGACAAAACTTCCCATGATACAGTACTGTTTTTTAGATAATATTATGCCGTAATCGTTCACATGTCAAACGCATCACTCCTGTGTCAAAACGAGGTGCTGCAGTAACCATATCCTTACCCCATCCTCTACGCCTCTCGTTGACTTTTGGATGAAAAAGAGCTAAATGCGATATAACCGGTAAGGTACCACTATGTGGATCAGACAGGAATATTCTTTCGCTTTGTAAGGGTAGATGCAAAACAAAATTTTTTTGAGAACGAGGAACGAGCGTTTTCTAAAAATATTGATTCAACGGAATACCGTACCTATCCTGAGATTGAAACTGTTGAATGAATGTTCGTTGATGTACTGTATGAGTGCGAGAAGTCGAATAGCAAAGCGAGTTACCGCCACAACATGCGAGTTATCGGTTACCTCACCGAACAGACCCGATGCAGCCATATATGTAGTCGAGATCGTCTTGATCTTTTCGATACATTTGAATTCTTCGCGACTTAGCTGCTAAAAATGCAAATTAGGAAAGTCATTTGAATTCTTCGCAAATGTGTTTGAAAATTTAATTGACCAAAACTAAAAATACTTGGATCGCCCGGGCAGTCAATTGGTATCTCAGATTAGTAATTTTATTGGAATGCTTTTATATGCCTGGTGCAACTAGGACAAGTCTCATTTCTTGGGCTGCATACTCCTATTAGTACTCAACGCTTGCTCAGTGG